GGAATTGGCGACCATTTCAGAAAAAAAATCACTTGTACATTCTAGGTATGCACCAAAGTGGACCCTACAAGCTTGTTGTCCTGAATGAAACAACGAGCCACACACTCCAGTCATATTTATTCCCAAATATCGCTAATCTGGATTTCCTTAGAGTTAGGTTGACTAACATATGAACTATCAAGATATCAGTAATAATGCTGACTTGTAGTCATAAATTAAACATTGCTCCGGGAAATCATAAAATGCTGTACAAATTGTAGGTATGAGAAATTCACACAGCTAACAATTTCTTTTATTATTAATCAGAGGTACTTAATTCAATCAAGGCGTGTTCACATTAGATTGCTTTTCCATCACATAATAATTATTTTATATGCATGAACTCTTATCAACACAGTACACAATTAATATATTTCGTTTTAACGTTGTGGCATTGTGCGTTCGAAGCATACCAAAGTCCGTTTTTTGTAATTAAACTATCTATGTATTTTGGATTAGTGGTTTATAAATAGCTTGGCTCGTAAAGAAATACGTGGGGCTATTTTTAATGGTTAAAGAATTATGATGTGTTAAAGAGTTAATGTGTTGTGAATTTTAGCTATGCTATTTGGCTTCTATCACATCATATCTGCCAAAATATCTGACAGCAAAACAAATATTTCATGTTAATTGCTTCAAGATATTCATTGATGGAGCATTAGCATGAACTCTTTTACAATATGAAATACTATTAAATAACATAGCTGCAACAATGTCAATAGTCTTGATCCTGTATTATGTTTAATCTATTTTTAAATTTTCTTTCTTTTGAATTATACAATGATTAAAATTCATCAAATCTGTAAATAAAATGCTATAAATACATATTAATTCAAAATAAATATTTGAAATCATTATCACATCATCCCATCTACATATTATTAGGTGTGAACGTAACGCACACATTCAGGTATAAATTTTCACCCTTGAGATATTACTGAAGATCTTATTGGAAATTATCACAATACTTGCAATAGGGAATGTAATATTAGAAATTCAAATCTGGAGTATCAATGCACTTCTATTTCTCTTAAATTATTGAATTTTTGAAAATATTCTTCCTTCGGATTAATTTGTGCTGGCCTTTTTTAACTAAACCGAATAACCCCACTATCTAAAACCGAGAAACGTTACCTTAAGAATAGTGTATCTTAGGTTTATATTGAATGTTGTAATATTTTGTTTATTTATTTTACTGCTAATTTTAGGTACTGGGTTTAAGGGTGGATGGTTTTGTACTTAAACAACCAATGTTACATCACATCGGTTAGGTATTATAAACTCTTACTTTTCCTGAGAATCAAAGTCTACTAATATCTAAAGTAGCCTCGTCTCTCACTTCGTTCCGTTTTGTTTTATTTTTTCAGCTGACTACTGGTTATTTTCTGCATAGCTTACATTTGGATTAACGATATCGGTGCTTCTTGTACACATGTGTTTATTGTATGTCTGGGCGGGTGGTCAAATTGATCAACAAAAATATCCGAGTATTCGAAATATATCCGTAACATTCCTGATTACATTTTATGCAATAAACATGTATAACGAAATGAAATGAAATGAAATGAAATGGGGTTTAACGTCCTACTACAGTGTGCTATGAGGGAAATTTTGCCCGGGCAGCGCCACTATCGCCTACTCTTACATCGAATTCCAACTGCCAAGGGATCTTTTACGTGCATTCCAATGTATACACGGGACCTCGGTTTTTCGTATCATCCGAAGGACTAGACAGCTGTCCTTGCCAGGCCCCCCGTCCTGCATCACTGACAAGGGGGAACCACGCCGGAAAATCTGGATGAACTTTCTCGGCCAATGCAGGGATCGAACACCCGACCTCCAGGATAGCGAGCCAGAGTCTTACCCACTTAGCCACATGTATAACACCACCATCATCCTTTGTGTACTTGAATATTAATTAGTAGAAAAAAACTGATTTAATATAATAAAATAGAGAACTTCAAAGGAAATATATTTTTGATAGGTGAGAGTCGGTGTGCACATTTAACGAAGCAATCAATACTCCTTTAATATTCCATTATATTTAATGGAGAAATATGCCAGAGTTAAAAAGTCTGAAAGGGTCTACTTCACCACAGGCACTACACAATTTATTTAACCAGCCCAGTACCAAGTTAGGCTAACATAGTTTCTATTGTTTTCTCACCCCCATCTTTATAATAATAATACATGTTTTCATTAGCCCAGTTGGAGAACAGTAGTACGTTAAACCCCATATCATTATAATAACAATCCAAATTCTGAAATCGTCTCCATACAAGCACACGTGTTCAATTAATCAATTATTTTATAATATGTTTTACTATGAAGATATAACCTCTTGTGTACGGCTACCTTTAAGAATCAGTAACGAGCTCACTCAAACATGAAAACGACGCAAATAATAGACGGAGATATAATTTTGTCCTCTTAATTTCTAAGTCTAAAGATGAGATGAATGAAATATAATGAAGTTTAACGTCCTACTTTTCTTCTCCGGTTGGGCTAATGAAGACGGGTAAAGTTATATACGCCCGTCCTATTTGACAAGCATATGTTTTAAATTATGATATGCCAGTCGATTACAAAATATGTTAGTGTATAAGAAATTTGAGAAGCTTATGGATGAAATGAACTCTAAACATTTTAATAAACAGGCAAATAAATATATCTAAATTTCCAAGATTGCCATTTTCGATTTATTACAGTATATCGAATATCATTATGGTTAATCTGTTTATCTCGAGGGAAGACTGATGTTAATAGCTTATAAACATGGTAAAATACTTGCTTATTTCCGGTTGCAGAGCTGAGAATGGTTAAAACAGTTGATGAAGTTGGAAGGATTGAAGGGGATTCCCCCACCACGTGGTCGAGCAACTCTTAACTTTAACAGATCTTAATGAGATGTTCCTCTTTGACCCCCATAATTAGATTTGCTCTACAAGTTGAACCTAGATACGATTGCACTTAACATTTTTTTTCATTTGAATGCATTTTGAAAACATCTGTCTCCACAGCTACACAGAAATGAGTTTTAAAACCGGTATTTCAGAACTATATCGGATATAGATTGACAAGTGAATGAAACGACATTAAAGGTGTATGGCTTTATTCTGTGGTACCTTAAAATAGACAAGAACGGTCTAAAAGCACATATCAATGTAATATGAGTGTATATATCGTGAATTATATTCATTTTTATTTCTTTAAAAAAAAATAGGTTATTTCTTATCAATTATGTTGATGAAATACGTGAACTGCAGTCGAAATTGAACGGCAGTCGTTTATGTATGCCTAGTCTATTCTACACGTTGTTTTAAATATGTTGATTGTGAATCGGCCATTACTAATTACTTCTACGTTGTCTGATAGGGTATTTTTTCTTTGTTTATTACATATGGCACCCGAAACATTACATAACACGACTCGTGTATTGCTTTTAAAATGTTTCTTAATATTAGATACTAGGATCCCATATATTCTCGGCATGATAACAACATCAATATTGATTTAAATGGGCCAATGCTGAATTTTAATTTGTGTTTTTAATTCGAACATTATAGACAATATTGAGTTATGTGTTTAGCTCCTTTAATGATATTACATAAACGGGCATGGAATATAGTAGTAACATATAAAGCACTACGAGACCGATAGTACTCTTAGTTCTATAAACTAATAATATTTTTGAAACATGGCGAGTACGTCTTCCCACGACCCATATCAAAACACACGTCATTGATCAATTCTCCAACTTATTTAGTAGGTACACTTCTGTGTCTCTTGAACACTGTCAATTTTCAGTATCTTTATATGAAATTAACCAAGTAAAAAATACATTATATTGGTGTGGCTATTCGCACAGAAATACAATTACACCTATGTTGCGATAAATCATATTTTTTTTTTTAAATCCGTACTAAATAGATATGTGCAACGACAATAATATTTAAACGACTTGAGCGATATACCGAAATAGAAATGTTCCATTGAAAAGAATTTTTTCATGAAGTAATTTAAAATAGAATCATATTGGGTTGTGTTTTTGTTATTTTACAGCCCATTACACAACTGAATTCATTTTTTAAAAAGCATGCTGAACAGAAAAATAATTGGTATTTGAAACATTATGATCTGTATTAAAATATATTGACCTTTTGTAATGATAGCCAAGGAAGACAAACTAATAATTAACAAACAATTTAGATCCAATTAATATCTTGTGGATGACTAGAGGACATATTAACATGGAAATAGTACGCCTGAGCAATGGCACACGAATCTAGTAAGAATGCCGGGCCTACCTATTTAATGAAACATTATCTTTTAGTAATGGCACGCGATGACAGATAAGAATCCTTGTTATTTTCTAAATTAATCATATTTTGGAATCGAGTTTCCTTCCCGTCTCATTGAGAATCAAAGTGTAATCATGCATTAAGTGATAGCTGGTATGAGATTTGACCCAAATACATATAATTATGATATGACAGCGCGTGGATTGCACGCTACATGCGTTTCAATGGTTAATGTGGAATATGTTTTTTCATATGAGAATTGGTTTTAATGTGTATCTTCGTGCTGATAATAGCTTTTGATAATTAATGAAATACGTATTAGAATGTTTATTGAAGACGTGTTGTACGGCATCAACTGTACCTATTCGTGTATGAATATTATTTTTTAGGTAACGATGATGCACTTTTGTGATAGATATTCAGAGATCTTTTAACAGCGATGGCATTGATATTTAGCGAAGGGGAACTGGTTTGGTAGACAGTGTATTACATTAAGCTACCTTTGGCCGATTGAGCCAAAGTTAAGACAATTTGTCCACGCTTAAGTGAGTTTCATGTAGCTTGCCTTTTGCACAATGTCATATTTTGGATAACAATGATATGAATTAGATAGCAACATAATAACTGTACCTAGTCAATATATACACTGTTAGCATCAGTGTCTTGCATACAAAAACCGTGGTTACGAAAGCAAGTGGAACGCATTTACAGTTTGAGTGCAATAAACATGTCGACAATATGTCAGTGCTTTCAAAGAAATTCTAAGAATAGTCTATCTGATATAATGGTTAAAGGACCGAAGCTATAGAGGACAACAGTTTCAGAACCAAATTTTGTCGGTGTTCGCAATTATTCATAAACAATATTTATATAATAATCAGAGTGTTTGTACTGGAATTTAATTTCTAACAATAAACCCTTTGAGGTTGGTGAATAGTTATATCAAAAAGACTTTGGACAATATTGTGCAGGTGGTCATTAAAATCGGACCTACCATAGATCCGCAACCAATAAGGTAGGTGGATTAATACATATATTGGGTCAATATATTTTTTGGTGTAATTAACGATTTTAACGTAGTATAAACCATATTTAACTTGGGTTTACCACAATCGAATAATGAATGGCACCATAAAGCATAATGACAGAAAAAAGTCAATATAATAATAAAGGCCCTTTTGCAATTAACTTTAATTTAATACCATGTGCCTTCGGCATTGGTTAATACGATTCTTTTGAAGATTGTGATAACAATCTGATTTACTTCTTTCGTCCACTCTAGAAATAAACCTGAACGTTATAATTTATTAATATCGTTGATACAAGCACCAGAAATCAAAGACTCCGTTTCATAATAAATCGTTGACTTCAATACTTAATTAACTTTTACTTTATGACAGGGTTCCATGTAACAATGTATTGACTTTATTAATGCTTGTAAGCGAGTGTTTGGCCCTTGCAAAAATGTATGATGTGTATAGCTAGGTTCTGTTATTCAAAGCTGTAATTTTAGCATCGTGCCAAAAGGATCTTGATGGGTAAAATATATAGCTTGATGAAATGAATAGTATAAGTTACAATTTAATAAGAAACAATGCTATACAGATAATAATCAACCATTCAATGTAATGAAGGGGGGTGTGGTGGATGTCCGAATGATTAGCACGTGCGCGCTGTGTCATGAGGTCTGCCATTGAGACAACTAGTGTGGTTTCGATTCCCTGGTTGTACGTGGCAAGCCTCGTGGGTTTTCTCCAGGTCCTCCGGTTTCCTCCGTTAAACCCCATTTCTGTCTCTTCCCGTCTCTCTCTCTCTCTCTCTCTCTCTCTGATGAATCATATCGTATATTTGGTCGTTGTAAATGCACATTAAAAAAAAGTAAATCGGTGAGCAACTACAACAAGATAGGATAAATCAGTAAAACCATGATGACATGTAGTACACATATAAATCTTATGTCTGGTTAGTGTACGCTCGTGCACTAACCTGGTTGTCCCAGGTTCGATCCTAGTTTTGGCTGAGAAAATTCATAGAGATTTTCAAGCCTGGGTTTCCCTTGTCAGCTGGGCATCGGAGAATGCCTGGTAAGGAAACGGGTGCAGTCCATCGGACGTTAAACCCCATTCCGTTTTATTTGTCTTGAATAAATGCACTGATATAGTTTTCTGTATTTTTATTTTATATGCACAATTGTTTTATTATGTCGATAATATTGGACAGCGTATGGGTATGTACAATTGTGTGTTTTTATATAATTACATTGTATACGAGAACGTAGCCTACATGGTATACAAACAATTGTTTTCTGCAACTCTTGTAACTATACATCATAACGTTGGACGTCTAAATATACGCCCAGCATCTTTGTTTCAGTTCAACACACTTCATGAAATGTATTTCTACAAATAAAACAAAGTGTCTAAAAATATGTATAAAGTCGTCAATTTAAATCCATGTTTTGCATTATATTACCAAAACAATGCTTACAATAAGTATCAACAGCTCATTAACGATTGCTACATAAGACAGAATTTATAGTCGATTAATGGCGTTTGTTGTTTTATTTTGGTTCTACTAATAGATCGATTGCCGATCAAAAAATCTTTCGATTAATCTGCAAACAAACTTGGTAAAATAGCCATAACAATTATCAATAATTGCCATCTTGTATAGCAGTGGTTAATGAGCTGTTGATGCTCGTATCCACTGCAGCAATAATATGCCTTGGGACACAAAATATTATGACGCGTGAAGTAATGGTTACGATTTCTAAATTTAAGTTGTACACTAAACGCATGACAAACTCGAGGAACATCAAAATGTTTGAGGAATACCTCGACTTTTTGAAAATAAGCAACTAGTTTGCTGTGCGTGTTATATATCTATTCAACGTTCTCTTGTCGTTTAGGTACATTTATTATTGTCTTGTAGAACATTATGTTTCTGTGGGGTTTCTTTTTTCTCTCTAGGTCGAGCTATTCTTGTAATATGTTATTTACTACTGTATGTCTACATTTATTACTTAACAATAATATGTTATTATCTACGTTGTGTCTGGCTTTGTAAAAAAATAACTATGTTATAGTAACAACTACTACCTGGTATAATGCCCAGAATCAAATGTAGCTAAGGAGAAAGAGAGAAAAATGGCGTTAACCTCCACCCCATAAAGAAATAGGTCATATGGTGCAGTATGATTTCAATAATTCGCTTACGCGTAGGGGTCTTTAGCACTGGGAGAAAACCTCAGGATCCAGAGAAAACTACTAGGTTAGATAAGCAACCCACTCCGTGACACCAACAAGTGTGGGATCGAAACCACGCCACTTGAATCAATGGCAGACCATGTGACCTATACCCCTCTCTCCTCCCTTTAGAAGTGAAGACACTATTGGGTTATTTTATATTATGTATATATACGGAATATAACGTATTTCAGGCTAGTAAATAGTTTTGATGCCACTTTCATGGGCCTAAGGTGATTATTTGGCGAAACAGACCTTATGACCTATAGCTCCCCCCCCCCATATGAAGTAAAGATACCACTGGGTTATATTACTGAGCGCCATGGAAAACGCATCACTTAGTTTTTCGTATAACAAAATGATCCTGTAAACATATCTTATTTATTTTGCTTCTTATTGTAAACAATATTCAAATGGGAACACATCAATAACAACACATTTGTACACTTATGGTTGTTTAATCTGTAATCAACGGTACAAAGTCGGAGGGGTCAAAACCAAAAGTACGACACAGATGTCAGTAGCGCGTGTGTCCTCCACGGGCTCTTACACACGCTGTGCAGCGACGTCGCATGGAATTAACCAATGTTTGAAAGAAGGCCTGGGGCAAATTGTTCCATTCTAAAGCAGCAATGGTGTGCATCTGTGGTCTCCGATACAGACGGCGTCCAATTTCATCCCAGACATGTTCTATCGGTGCCATGTCCGAGGACATGGCTGGCCAGTCCAAGACATTGATGTTGTTAGCAGCCAGGTAGTCCATACTAAAACGGGCGGTATGCGGACGTGCATTATCCTGTTGGAAGTGCTGAAGTTGTGGGTGCGCTCGAAACATCGGAACAACAATTGGTTGCAAGACATAATCACGGTAGGCTACAGCATTAACGCGACCCCTGCAAATGTGTAGGGCGGTCCGGTGATGAAAAGTGAAGCCTCCCCACACCATTACACTTCCCCCACTCAATCGATTCGTTTCGAAGACGCAGCAGTCTACAAGACGTTGCCCAAGACGTCTCCACACACGTTGATGGCCATCAGCGTGATAAAGATGAAAGCGACTCTCATCACTGAAGAGCACACTTTGCCAGTTTACTCTTCTCCATGTCTGGTGTCCTTGAGCCCATATCAAACGCCGCTGACGGTGATGATCCCTGAGGATAGCTCCAACATAAGGTCGTCGTGCACGGAGTCCTACTTCTCTTAGAAGACGTCTTACGGTGTTGGCACTTACTGGTCCTTGTCTTCCGACGACTGCTGAAACTGTTCGAGTCGCTGGGCGGAATCTGTCACGCAGATGAGTGACCCAGATTTAGCGGTCTTGGGCCTGGGTTGTAACGCGTTGTGGACCAGGACGTTGACGGTCACGTGTTGATCCAGTAACTCGAACACGTTCCACCAACCTTACAATAGTGGACTGATGACAAATGAAGTGTCTGGCAATAGCACGTGTAGACATGCCAGCCCGGGACATTTCCATGGCTTCATTCCGTTGATTTTCAGTAAGTCTCGGCATCTCTAGCTCGATTCCTTCACACGTCCAACAACAAATTACGACAGATTGACGTTTCACAGTTCATGTACTGCACATTAAGTTGAAAACATGCTTTTAAAGGGCTCACACACAATGCTGCACGTGAATATTGGGTTTTTCATGTGCATCTCGTGCAATATTTTTTTGTGCACACGGGCCGATATTTTTTGCGTTTGGGAGCATTGTGTGAAACAATAGTTCATAGTATTGCATAATATTATACATACAAAACCACCTAGTAATAAAATATTTGGGAAAAAAAGTGATGCGTTTTCCATGGCGCTCGGTACATATCAAGTATATTTATTAGTATACAACATATGCCAGGCTAGTAAACAGTTCTGGTGCTTCTTTCATGGGCCTAAGATGATTATTTGGCGAAACATTGTTCTACAAAGTTGTCAATTTCAGAAAAATCTATTGCACATTCTCCTAAAATGTTTTGCTTCAGTAGTCTCCATTTCAGTATTGCTTTAATGCCCCTGAAAGTGATTCGCACGATATTGTAAAAGTTGAATTTCTAACATTTAATATCAGTTCAAAAATGGTTCCGTTCCTTTCAATATTTACAAAAGATATGATGAAGCGATATACCATCGCTCTGTGTAAATGGTACACTTTCCTTTTTCTATTTTCTCTCTTCTCGATACTTTTTCATGGCTGACAAAACTTATCGACATTTCTTCGAATTTGAACCTTCCCACAATTTGCAATCTACGGTAGGCTAATCGCCAATTAACAAGTTTGTAAAAGTCACGATATTGTATACCCGTTGACCGCCATCTTAACATTTAAGTGAAATTTAATAGATGGATCTGTTTGAATCCAAGCCGGGAGATTCCTTTCAGTACTTACCAAGATATGTTGAATTGAAATTTCATCGATCTATGCCCTTTCGCTCTATGTAATAAGGGGTCACGGTGGCTAAGTGGGTAAGACGCTGGCATGCTAGCCTGGAGGTCGGGTGTTGGATCCCTGCATGTGCCGAGAAAGTTCCATCCAGATTTTCCGATGTGGTTCCCCTTCCCAGGACGGAAGGCTTGATAACGACAGCTGTCTAGTTGTTCGGATGGTACACATTGGCGTGCACGTAAAAGATCCCTTGACATTTGGAATTCGATATAAGAGTAGGCCGTAGTGCCGCTGTCCGGGCAAAATTTCTTTCATAGCACACTGTATGGCGTATGCCCGTCTTCATTAGCCTAGCTCGGAGCAGAACAGTAGGACGTTAAACCCCAT